TAAAAATAAATATATATCATTTGATACATCGAAAAAAATTATAATATGCATTAACTTGAATAGACAAATAATTGTATAATTTTAAAATATTATATATATATATATATATATTAAAATTATTAAATTTTTAATGGAAGAGACTAAAATCGTAATTATAATATTTAAGAGAATAAAATTGTTCAATGAAAAATTGAAGGATCGAAATCGCACAATTGTAATTTTTTAGGAACTAAAATTATCCAATTAAAACTTTGAGGATCAAAATTGCACAATTACAATACTTGAGAGATCAAAAATGCAATTAAGTCAATTTTAAAATATAGTCCCGACGAATATAGTCCATTCGTCAATTCTGCACGTGGAATATGAAAATGTCACTGTTATACCTGCATCAATATTTATATGGTCCCTGCCATCATTATTAATATGGCCCAAATTAACTATAGGTTTTTAATGTGTGAATGGTGTTATTTTTTTAATAAAGTTAAAGTTTTATTTTAGCTATATGTAATTCCATTTCATGTATGTCTCACTAATTGTAAAATTTTAATTTTGATTAAAAAATAACATTAATCATATTTAAAAAAATTGTACTTAAGTGTTAGAGCAATTTCAATGGGAGTTGCTTGACTCATCAAGCAACTCCAACATCAGTTTCTTACCATTGGAGAGATCTAAAGTGGCAGCAAGAGTTTCTTGCAGAGGAGAGAGGGTTGCTTAGTGAAGCAACGGTTGCTTACTTTTGTGAACTGAAGGAGGTGCGGCGGAGGCACGAGGTAGGATGGCGGAGGTGCGCGGTAGGACGGTGGCGGCGCGCGGGTGGACAGCGGAGACGCGCCGGTGGACAGCAGAGGTGAATGTTCTGCCGCGGGTGGACAGCGGAGGCATGCTGGTGGACGTTCTGCCGCGGGTGGACAGCGGAGGCGCGCTGGTGGACGTTCTGTCGCGGGTAGACGTTCTGGCTGGACCTGCGCGCGGCGGCGACAACGGTAGACAAAGTTTGAAGATGGAGTTGGAAGAAAAGGAAGGTTGAGAAAAATGAAAAAACCCTCTCACGAAGAGAAGAAGAAGAAAAAGAGATGTTTTAAAGAAATAAAAAATTAACAATTAAAAATTAAAAAATTAAAAAATTCTAAAAGTTGAATTTCTTAAAATTTCTTATTATTAAAGTAAATTTCTGTTTGAGTTACTTAATGCTGACATAGCGGAGACCACTTTTTTTATTTTTCGATGCATGAAGCAATTCAAATGAGTTATTTCCATTGGAAATGCTCTTATCTTTTTTAAAATTGTAATTTGAATGATAAATGGATGAATATTTAATAATAAAATTAAAATTATGAATTTTTTAAAATTAAAAATTAAAACTGTAAAATTAAAAATTATGAAACGAAAGTCACATTTAAATATTATAAATAGATAAAAATATAATTTAGAAAAAAAAATTATACATTTCTAGCAGATATTTCAAAATTCTGTCTGTAGCCGAGGAAAATGTGTGATAAAGCTGAGGTAACGGGTGGGCGTCTGAACCATAATAATGATGATACTGATAAGAGAGTCCTTCGTATTTTAGTACATTTTGGAGATAAAATTTTCCACGGTTGCAGTTCACCGAGGTTTTAAATTTAAGCAGGAAAACAAAATACTCCCTCTCCCATAGTGGTGTCACGGGTTAACGAATCATAAATGGGTAAATATAATCTGGTTCACTTTCTGGTGAATTAAAAGAATTTTAATTCTGTTTGACTAGTTGGTAGGTTAATTAGGGTTGGTTCACTACATTTTTCTAAAAATAAAAAAAAATTAATATATTTTTATTTTTCTCACTAAGTCTGATAGGCTACTCAGATTCAGACTATGCTGGGTGTAGACTAGATAGAAAAAGCACAAGTGGAACTTGTCACCTACTAGGTAGTGCACTTGTCTCATGGCATAGCAAAAAGCAAGCTTGTGTTGCTTTGAGTACAGCTGAGGCTGAGTATATAGCTATTGGGAGTTATTATGCTCAAATTCTTTGGATGAAGCAACAACTAAGAGACTATGGAACTGAGCTAAATAAAATACCTCTGAAATGTGACAATACAAGTGCAATAAATTTGACCAAAAACCCAATTTCGCACTCTAGGACAAAACATATAGAGATAAGACACCACTTTTTGAGAGATCATGTTCAAAGGAATGATTGTGTTGTAGAGTTTGTAGAGACTAGTAAGAAATTAGCTGACATATTTACAAAACCTCTACCAAGGGAAAGATTTAACTAATTAAGATTGTTTGGCCGGAATTGTTTCTCTTCACTTGAAGCCTTAAGAAGCTTGTGCTACAAGCTTCTAACTTAGCTTGCTTCCCAAGCAAGCTAAGGTAGAAGCTTACTTCACAAGCCTCCGAAATTAGGGAGACTGGTCAAGCAACCAAACCATGGTTCTCTTGAACCATGGTTAAGGTTAGCTTGCTCCCTAAGCTTCCTACTTCTATATATTCCTAAACCTTTCATTTGTAGACACTTTTAGATGTTAATGAATAGAATTTTCTCTCAAAATTCTCTCTTCCAAGAGCCAAAACCGTGGAGAAACTCTCTCCCTTAGGAACCTTCACAAAGGACTTTCTCCTTTGTGCCTTGGTTTCTCACTTCTTCTTCTCCTCCAAGAAGAACCGAACCACAAGAGTGGCTTCTTAACAAGCTTTGAGGCTTTTTTTGCTTCCGCAAATCACCATTGAAGAACCTCCAAGAGCTAGATTGGACATTGGATGGAGCTTGAGGAAGAACAACAATCACTTCTCCAAGTCTCTTCCATCATATCCTCACACTTATGTCAGTGTGGCACAACCCTGAGTATGAGAAGCTACAGGGGTGGCTTGAGCATGGCATACTATGGGACGTGTGAGGCAATTAACACGTATGTCAGCGTGGCACGACCTTGGGCAAGAGATGCTACAGGGGTAGCGTGAGCATGACATAGTGTTAATTGCAAGATTTATGTGTGGCAATTAGTACTTATGGCATGGCACGACCTTGGGCACGAGATGCTACAAAGGTGACATGATCTTAACATAGTACAAATTATATGATGTGATGGATTGGTGTGATTGTGAATTGTGATGTAAAGATGATGCATGGTTGATAGAATTATGATATATAGAAATGGTTGTAAATATTTTCTTATGTAATGAGTTAGGATGAGAATACATTATGGTGTGTTTGTATGTGCTTTACATATAGATATTTTCTTTTCTCACCGTACAATTTGTGGATGTTTTAGGTGAGGAAGACCCGGCTATGAGTGGCATCGAGAATGCCAACAGTTGAGTTGTAGGTGTGTTATGATATTGTGACATCGGGGCAGAGAATTTCTAGAAAATGGATTTTATATGTATTTGGAGTTGTTCTTATTATTTTGAAAACAATTTGTAAACTCTTAAGTTTTATTTTCCAAGTTTTATTTTCAATTATTTTGGATATGGAATAACAGTTATGAAGGTTTTATGTGGACCCTTTTAACAACGTAGAAAAATTTAAAATGTATCATTGATTCAAATGTAAATACATTAAAAAAATATCGATTAAAATTTTAAATAAAAATTATATAAAATATATATATATAATAATAATAATAATAATGAATTAAATGGGTCAATCCATCTTATTTAGTTCGAATCCGTTTGATTCACAAATTAAGTAGTTAAGTTAAAATTTAATCTAAATCAATATAATTTTTTTATATCTTAACCTGATCTGTTTAGACTTGTGGTAAGCTAAATTAACCCATCAGATTTGACTTATTTTGGCACCTCTACTCTCCCATAACATGGTAACAAGTATGCTGTTAGAAAAAGAAAAAGAAAACTACTAAGTGTGATGTTAGTTTCTTTTTAATATAATACTACTTTGTTTTTAAATGTAAAATTTAATCACTTAATTCATCAAAATTAAAAAAATATATATTAAGTTAGTTGATACTAATAAATTTATCATATTTATATATATTTTATTAAAAAATTCTTTTATACCATTTCTCTTTCCTAATTAATTAATATTAATATTTTCAAACAAATTATAGTGTATGTCTTATATTATTTCTTTCTCTTAATTAATACTCATTTTTCTCCTAATCAATTAGAATGTATGTTCTTTAAAAATTTTATAATTAATACATTTTACCAAATTAAGAAAACAAGTAACATCCTGAATTTTTTAAAATAAATTAATAAAATTTTTAATTAATTAATTGAGAGGTTTTACAGATAAAAATGTTTTAAATAAGAAAATAAGATTTTGAAATTATTTAAAGAGATATATTTATCTTATTTATCTATAAGTTTTAAATAATTAATGAATAGAGAGATTAACTATGGTTAAATTTATTTATGATGATATGTAAAACGAATGTTAGCGTTTTGTTAACTTTTGGGATTGAGTTAGTCCTCTATGATTGAGAAACCAGATATTGAAATTCAAAAACTGTTTTATAGGTATTAGGTTCTATTGATAAAGCTGTGAAATTCTGGGGTTTAGAAACCTTTGAGTCGATTAGATCTGTTATAAACTCAGCGAAACAAGTTATAGGCATAGGACAAACTTTGTTGCAGGATCATCAACCATTAGGAGGCAAAACAAGATAGTTTTTAAGAGTGGCACTCTTTTCACTTTTGAAATCCAGACTATATATACACACATGAGAAATGTTAGGAACACAAATTTTTTTAATAAAATGGTTTTATATTATTTTGGAATTTATAGTATAAATTAGTTTTTCAGTTGTATTATTTATTTTAATTTTTTAATATTTTTATAATATTATTATAATTTTTTGTTTTTAATTTTTTAATTTTGTTACATATAAACAAAATTTGTTATGAAAATTGATCTTTTAATTATTTTTTTTAATTAGTCTTTTTATTGATTCATCTTATACAAATTTTTAATCTAAAATTTATATTATTTTAAATTTATTTTTTAAAATTTATTTATTTACATAATTTAATGTATTAAAACTCTTTAATTTTCATAGTAATTCCCTTATATAACTCCACTGAGAAATACTCACATTTCAAAGTGACTTTTATCCAGGATATATTAATTATGATATCAATTACAACGTGGTCTAACATGTACTACAGCTTATTTTAACTTTCTTTTTTTTTAAAAAAAGAAAGTACTACAGCTCCACGCATAAAATAATAAATATGTTTTTCCCATCTCTTTGAAGTTTTCGAAATGAACTGACCTCAAAAAAAGGGAGAAAAGTATTAAAAAAGCAAAATAAAGTGAACCTATACCTAGTGGCCAGCTCATAGAACAGAGATTGCTTCATGAAGCAGGTAAATGCGGGTACGATTAGGATCCTCTGTTTAACATCCTATGTCTTATGATAAGGTAAAATTAATAATATAAATGAAAAATAATCTTATTTTTAAGATTGAATTAGTTTTATTACCTACTTTTTAAAGATAGTATAAGAATTTATATTTTAATAATTAATATTAATAAATTTTCTTATGTCTCTTATAAATTTTATATTTGAAACTTTTAGTCTTTGATGTGACGATATGTCAAAGATCTCACATTTTGTCAGATTATTGTTTGTATGTAAATAATAATTCTTATCTTATAAATCAATTTTATAAAATTGAATTATACTTTGAATTTACATTTTTAATATTTTTTCTCGACACAATTATGTAGGAAAATTTGAATTAAAAGATAATATTTTTTCTATTATCGTTAATTTTTTATATTATATGATAAAGTTTTCCATTAAGAAGAATTTTGGTGAAAATCAGTGATTATGATCAGGTTTCATGAAAAAAAAAGAGTGTTATTTGTAAGGTATAGTCTATATTCTCTCTAACAGTGAAGATGAATTATATTTAAAATTAATTTTAGGTAATATATTCACTTGATGTGCATAGTTAATTAATTCATCCATTTTAAGATTTAGTCTTAATTGGAGAACATTGTAAGTTGTAGTAGGGGTGTAGTAGTTGTATCTAATTAATGAGGATACCCAAGGTGTTGATTTTATAAATGTTCACCAACCTCACATAAGGTTAAATAATTCTATTAATGCATATAATGGTACTCGATTGACTTTACTATTACCCGGATATGCTCAACCGACTGTTGTAAATATTATTACTACGGGTGTTCCAGAGTCGGATTTGACTAGTTTCGTTAAACCATTCATAAATTAATGGATTGATGGAGTTGGATTGAATGTGTAATTTTATTCTAGAATCCAATCCAACGGATCCAATCACATGAGTTATATTGAGTTGAGTTAACCATGTTAACATAATTAAATTTTTAAGAAGAAATTTAAATATTTTATAATATATTTAAATCATTTAATATCTTGGTATAAATGTAATATTATCAATTTATAAAATAAATAATAATATAAATTTAATTTTATAATAAATTTATTGATTTATTACATTATTATCAATTTAAACAATTAACATAATACAAAATAAAAAAAATAAAATAAATATATGTTGTATTGTTATAATGTTATCAACCCATAAAATAAATAACGATATAAACTTAATTCTATAAAAAATTTGTTGATTTATTATATTGTTATCAATATAAACAATTAACATTAATACAAAATAATATTTAAAATAAATATATTGTATTATTGAAATGTTATAAAACCAAGCTGCAAACATTAATACAACCTAAAAGAGTAAGTTTCATCATTATATTATAAATATGCCTGAAAAATAAATATGCATAAAAATTATTATTATTATTATTATTATTATTATTATTATTATTATTATTATTATTATTATTATTATTATTATTATTGGGCTGAGTTAAGTATCATCTAAACCTTCAAAATATTGGAACCAAATTTATTGGATCAGTTCAAATAAGTTTGAGTTTACGGATTATCTATATACTCATATACAATCCTAAGTTATAGTTTTATGCTTATATAATTTTTTTTTAGAAACATGCATACATTTTTTATAAACTTTTTAATGGTAGTAAATCATAAAAAACAAATATTTGAAGACAAGAATTTATAATTTTACCACACACCAATGTAAAATAGACATTTAACATGGGTTAAAGTAAGTATTTTACATTGATTATAGGACATAGAAAAGTTTTCTATATTGGTTGTAGTACAACTGATTTAAAATGTGAAACAACCAAAACCAATAGTGTCCACACGTACAATAGCTATTCTGATCTACCCTATGCTCCATCCCACCCACTTTTTGCTTTATTTCAAATCCACGGGTACTTGTAGAATGCAATAACACATCTAGCACAACAACAACAACAAAAAAAAAAACATTTTGGAGAACAAGAATTGATGAGGAACTCCTACATAATGTCATTGTTGTCATCATATTGAAGGGTTCCAAAGTGTTGGCGTTGTCATGGTCAGTACTATTACTATACGCGGACAATGACTAGGTTGAAGAGGATGGGGTTAAAAATTAACAACTCATTTTTTTAATTAGTTTTTTTTTCATCTTTGATGAATGATTATTTTAAATATAAATGAATATTATAAACAATTTTATCTATTTTTAATTGTATTATCAAAATAATTTATTTTAAATAATTCCAATGAAATAATTTACCTATTATTGATTATCTAAGAGTACCCGAAACTACAAAATTGTCATTTCAATTGCTAAAAGTAATAAATTAATTATCGTCAATTTGAAAAGTCAATATATTACTTAATTGATCATTGAAACATTATTCTTTTAGTGATAATTTAAAAACACAATAAAAATAAAGAAGAGAGAAGTAAAAGACAAAACGAGTGAGCCACGGATTTGAATCAAATTAGATGTCAAATTGCACATTATTGTTCATGATTCAGGACATACCTTTCTAGAGCTATTATATATTGTGGACACAAGTGATGAGCATTTCAAGCAACTACATTGCTCTTTCATTAGTGAGGTTAGACTAGGAGCATGGGCTTCCTATCCCTCATTACTGTTCTACTATTCACATCGCCACTTCTCTCTTCTTCACAATATCTTGGGAAAAACATACTAACTAATCGTAAGATCTTGCCCAAACAAGAAGACATAACCTCTTATGCTGTCATCTTTGATGCTGGTAGCACTGGGAGTCGTGTTCATGTCTACCATTTTGACCAGAACTTAGAACTCCTTCACATTGGCAACGATCTCGAGTTTTACAAAAAGGTGATGGCCTATGATTTTGCTTCATAAGTTATATATATACCTTTTTTAATCCATTAATTCATATAAGTTATAGTAATTAATTAATTAATCATTTTATTCTTAATTAACTACTTGCTGGTTCTTCTTTATGGTGGATATGTAGGTTACACCAGGTTTAAGTTCATATGCTAGTGATCCTGAAGAAGCCGCAGAATCTCTGGTTCCACTTTTAGAGGCAGCTGAAAATGTTGTCCCTGTGGAGCTGCACCCCAAGACACCCCTTAAACTTGGGGTTAGTGTTTCTTTTTCTTCTCTATGTTTGTCACTTATTTGTGCATCTTTAATACAAAAACTCAATTTAGGTCCTTTATTAACTGTTACATAATATTTAGATACACCCAATACTCCACTCTAGTATTTTCAGTACGTCTTTTTATTACTTCACTGATGCATAAATTATCATTTTGACTAAGAAAATTGTTTATTTTTTATTTTAAAGCAAACCTGGTGAGAGTTGCTTAATATAATATTTTCGGTGCTTAACTTTGAGAACGTATATATATATAAGAATTTCATTGAAAATGCACAAAGTGATACTTTTTTATGGTGTGAACTGTGAACTGCTTATGCAGGCAACAGCAGGTTTAAGGCTTTTAGATGGGGATGCTTCCGAAAAAATATTGCAAGCGGTAACCATGAGTTTAATTTTCTAGCTCATCTTGTTAACTAGGCTTTCAACGTCTTAAGTGTTCGTTTTCTTATATTTTAGGTTACGGATCTGTTCAAGAACCGAAGTACACTAAACGTTCAATCTGATGCGGTAGCCATTATTGATGGCACCCAAGAAGGTTCTTATCTATGGGTATGACATTTCTTTATGTTCCTAATCAATTAACTTTATTCATTTTCCTCTTAAAAAAAAACTTGATTCATTTGATTGCACGTCTCGCTTTCCTTTTTTCGACGAGCAAATATATATTAAAGTAAGTACGAAAGGCTTACCTGAAAGCAAAATTAACATTTTCTAATACAATTGATTGGACTCACACACCCCAATTCAACTCCCACCCTTGGACTGTGATTTAGCTTTAACAAGATCTAAGATACCAATCTAAACGAAAGAAACTCCCTTCAAATAATAATCTTATTATTCATATTCGAATAGACCATGTAATGGCATGTCTAAAATTTGTAAACTTTTCATCTTTAAGAAAAGCTTATCTTGTTGAAAGAAATGATTTTGATCGTCAAATGTCGAAAAATAAAAAGAAAAAAAAAGTCCACCGCTAGTTGGGATAAAGAAAAGTTAAGAATTTATAAATTGAGTTATTGTGTCTAATTATGTATAGAAAAAAAATTTCAAGTCTCACCTGTAGACACCAAATAAATGGTAAAGCAACCAAAAATTCCTAAACAGTGAACAGCATTGACCCCCATGATTCAGCTCAGCTTGCAAATAGGAGAAAGTAGATTTAATTAACATAAAATATATGTTGGAACTATTCCTTCCATCCCTACTCATTGCGTATATTTTTATATATTAACATAAAAAAGACACTTTGTACCGTTGTGTAATTTTATAAAAAAAAAATAAGAATAAATGATTAATAATAAATTTTTGAGTAAATATAATTATAGGAGTGTTTGGAAAAAGGTTGAGAAAGAAAGAATAATTTGATATATAAATATATATAAAGATAAATGGTTCAAAAAATATATGCAATAAATAAAATAATCACTTTTATTAATTGTATAGATAAACCTTAGGATTCTTGTTACCAAGTTACTAACTCTACCATCGAAATATCTTGCTACACAAGAGTTAATATCTTTGCCCACAAACAAATTTTGCCTCTCTACTTTCATTTCCAACATCACTTCTTATGCTCTCCCATATAAGTAACACGTGCTCTTATCACAGAAAATATAATCTTGGAAATGAATCCTTAGGGTAAAATTGCCAAAATGGTAATCATGCCAAATCTTTACCTGTGCCCCATTTCCACCGCACATAAGTATACATAAAGGAGGAACAAATTAAAGAAACTCCTCCAATAGCCCACCAAATAAAAAATGAATTTTGGCATCTATATGAAATCACGTGATCCAAAGGATCATATATATATATATATATATATATATGTCTTGAAGTAAGATTTTTGGCTCTCTAAATTTATATTTTGAAATCACTCTTCCTAATTTTTCAATTGTTGTTAATTTGTTTTTATTAGCTAATTTATTTCTTATATTATGCTCTTTTTTAACTTAATTTTAAATTTTAAGAGTATTTTGTAATTTTATTTATTGATATATATAATAATATTTTTTTATTTTGTAAATAAATTACCCACCGACCCAATGTGCTAGTTTCGCTACTACTAACTAATCACAAGGAGAGAGAATATAGCACCACTATAACGAACGAG